GCTGTAACAGTGAGTCCCTAAGTTTTAGTAGTTTATGCAGTAACACATACCAGTCCAGTGTGGGTATTTCTGTCTAGTAAGTAGGTGGAAGCAGTCACCTATCTTCTTTCCTTGTGCAACTCTGCCAACCCCAAGGACATTAAGGATTGAGATTATACCTCTGCTTTGTCATTGCCTTGGTTTAAATACTTCTGTTCACATGTCACTGGCAATCATTGGTCACACTGGCCCCAGCAAGGTGCAAGGGAGAGGAGAGGGCAGGAAATGTAACCCCTGGCTGGCAATCACTCCCCCGTGACTATGGAACAGGAAGCAGGAATTAGACACTGAGATGTCTCTTCCATGAGGGTCATTAACATATACTCCCTTTTCAAAGTGCCCTGGGTCCCACCAATCCAGATCGGGAATTCTGGACTTGGTGACGTGCAAGAATGCTCTGTGACACTGGAAGAATTCACTCATTATTTCAGTTCCTTCTCTTCACTTGAATACCCCAAGAAACAGGTCCTAAAATAAAAGATTTGAGTGTCCGTAGTTCATGTGTAAGGTGATCCCAGGAAACACTAATGGGGCGAGGGATCGACGGTTGTTAAGAGGAAAGACAGAAGACGGAATATCTGGTTAAATGAAGGTTGTGTTAACCAAGCAGTGGGTTACCACTGTGGGCATCTGGAGCTTAACTCTACTGGGGAGCTCTAGGGTCCCATGTGCAGCATGGACCTCACATTTATCCAACTCAAACGGTGGGGGATGCTGAGGTATTTATATATGAATGTTCGTCAGTTGTTTTTTTGACATTAAGAACTGCTGGCATGTTGAATAGACTCCAGGGGCCAGAGAATGACCAAGGGCAGAGCCGTGCATGTGCTGGCAGTGGACAGCCAGGCAGGCATGTCCCACATGGTAGCACCCCAGGGATATGGGCACGCTGCACCAGCATCTGTGTGGTCCTGGGTAGCACAGGGTATATGAACGCAGCTGACTCAGGAATCAGCAAGCTGTCTTGGTGTTGTTGTTTCTGCTGTGCAGTGTGCCCGATGAGGAGCCCAAGACAAGCACCACAAATACCCAGGTGGAAGGTGATGACGAGGCTGCCCTGCTGGAGCGCCTGGCTCGGCGAGAGGAAAGACGCCAGAAACGCCTTCAGGAAGCTCTGGAGCGGCAGAAGGAGTTTGACCCAACAGTAACCGATGCTGGCCTGTCACTCCCAAGCAGGAGGATGCAAAATGACACGGCAGAAAACGCAGCTGCAGAGAAGGAAGAGAAAAGCAAAAGTCACCAAGAAAGATATGAGATAGAGGAAACAGAAATAGTCACCAAGTCCTACCAGAGGAATGACTGGAGGGATGCTGAAGAAAACAAGAAAGAAGAAAAGGACAAGGAGGAGGAGGAAGGGAAGCCAAAGCAGAGGAGCAGTGGAGAAAATCAGGTAGAGGCGATGGCAGAAGAGAAATCAGAAAGCCAAGAGGAGACAGTGGTGATGTCCTTGAAAAATGGGCAGATAGGTGCAGAAGAGCCCAAATCAGAGGAGAGGGAACTAGGTTCAGATGCAATTCCCCATAATGCAAAGACAGAAGAGGAAGACAGGGCAAGAGCTGAGGCAGAAGAAAGGGAAAGAATCAAAGCCGAGGAAGACAAAAAGATAGCAGATGAGCGAGCAAGAATTGAAGCAGAAGAAAAAGCAGCTGCCCAAGAAAGAGAAAGGAGGGAGGCGGAGGAGAGGGAAAGGAGGGAAGCAGAGGAGAG